GAAAGAGGCCAAATCAAGACTGCCAAAAAAGCGAGTTATTCAAAATCTAGCAACCATGTCACCTTTTTTAATAATAAATAACAAAATAACTAAAACACATTTTCACTCCAAACTCCCCAGAATTTCATAATAACATTAATATCTTATGAAAGGCGGCAGATTTGAGCTCAGAAATTATCTAATTTATTTCGTTTACTGAAAACAAAATTATCTGTTTGAAAACATCGCCTATCAGAATAACATGTAGTAAGCAGCTGCAAACTTTTTAACCAGAACTTGAGTAGGTCCCGAGCTCGAGATTGTTATTGTTTACATTTCTATTGAAAACACCATCCATATCATAAATAGGTTATAATTCTTGTCTTAATAAAAATCTTAAATAAGGTTTTATGTCCAACAGTTAAATCTGCAGTTCCAGGCTATTTGTAAATTTGTTTTATGGTATATACAAAAGCAGAAAATAAGTAAAATAAAACGAATTATGTTTTTCTTCAAAATGAAAACTTTACAGAACTGCTATAAACGTTGAAAAGGGAAACAAATTTCTTTATTTATGAACTTAGTTATTTTATTTTGATTTGAAAAGCGAGTTAAGAAATTCCACTGCAATATTTTATAAATGCTCGTTCTTTTCGTAACTAATTCAATATATTGTTATAAGAAATATTCTATTTTAAGAAATGCCATTTTTATTTCATTGGCATTTTACTTCAAATGATTTCATAAAGGTAACTGAAAGATTAAATGAATTATGAACTACAGGTTGAATTGAAATATAATTGGTTTCAAAAGTGGTTCTAAAAAGTACTAACTCACGGAACTTTTTCCACGGATCCCTAGGGTTCCGCGGAACACCATCGGGGAACCACTGCCCAAAGGCATTAATTTTAACCAGATTTTTTGTAAGTATTAAGAAGCTTAGTTCAACTTTAACACGCCGTTTTACTTATAAGCGATCTGCGGCATGATGTCATAGTTTGCATGTGTGGGTATTTGTGATCCTCTTGAAGTGCAAGTACCTTCTTGAACCTATTCAAATAAATTGACTTACAATCTCTTTTTTTTCTTCTCTGCTACTCTGTTAACATGTTCATAGTAATTTCATTTATTAGCTTTTAATATAGTGTTTTTTTAAATACTGAGTTTATTAGAAATACAGGTGGATTTAAATATTTTTATGAATAAAATTCAATAATTTGCATTGCAAAAACATTTAAAATTTAGCTCTATTATCCTTTTCCTCTGCTATCCTTTTCCGTTCTACGATTTCTTAAGTTTTATTCTCCTCTTATATAATTAAACAAAAAGCAATTTTAGTGATTTACAGTGCAAATTTCATTAGAGTGTAAATTATTGATTTCTGTTTCAGGTAACTTACTTAATTTTAACACATTGGTAATAGAGGGCTTGCAGATGCAGATTCGAGTTTATGTTTTATTTTATGTTCCAAATCGAAAAGTGCACTGCTGATATGAGTTTGTTGGACAAGGAACATTTCAATAACACCTGAAGTTTTTATAAGCAGTAATTCGAATATTTATATTTTCAAGAAAATTTTTTCAAAATGTCTCCATTTCGAAAATGACCTATATGACAGTTATACTTGCCAATGTATTGTTATTTTAATGTAATTGAATTATGTAATGCTATTTCTTTGTAATTTGGAAGGCATCTCATGAATTTGTCAACTATTTTAGACCAATCTGTTGGGATTTCTTTAAGAAACGTTCAACTTCAAATGTTTCCGTTTTACCATTCCTCGCTGCATTCATTTGGTAAGATTTATTTCTTTGTATTAATTTTACGATAAAAATAAAATATTGGTTGTAATAGCAATGTAATTATTATTGTAAATATAATTGTAATGATTTGCATATTTTTGTGCGTTTTCAGAGTGATTGTATTTCGGTTAGAGTTAAACAAACTGGGATCTAGCTGTAAACAACTACTTTTGACTTAGACGCCATTTTTAAGAAATCGCTTGAAATTTGCTGAGTTACCACGCTATTTGGAGATATATATGAAAAAGAGAGAAGTTTTATGTCAAAGCCAGTATTTTTAAAAATTCGATTATAAAAGTTGTGATTTTTGTGGGGAGGGAAGTTACAGACCATGTCAACCTTCATCTATGAAAAGGTACACCACCATACAATCGAGTTAACATGTCTTATATACTAGTGAATTGGAATTGTATTTTTGTAGTGGTAGATACCCTACAGTAATCCCCCACCAGAATTCGATACATGGATGCCACTAGTTGCTGTATTCGTGACAGACCGTGAGAGCTGTATTAAGGTCACCGGGTTTTGAACATTAGTCATGAGAGCTGTATTAAGATCATGGTCGTAGTCGCTCCTGTGTTGCCTTAGCAGTCGAGTGTAAGCAGTCCGACGATGTGTTTTAATCGAGACTGAGTAGCAACAGCGCAAGGAGGTAGATAATGTCGCAGTCACAAGTAGCAAGTCAACTGTTCAATGTGTACCATCCATCGAAGTAAGCGTTTGCAGATCGAAGTGGGCTTTACTGTCTAGATAGGCGTGTTCGTATCGAAGTGGGCGTTACTGCCAAGGTAGGCATGTTCACATCACGTCCGAAGGTCACCAATGTTCATGTTCGTGTAGCTTAATAAGGATAGTTAATTCATTTAACAAACATAAACTTTAATAAAAACAATTTCCTGATTATACATGATTAAGATGTTTCATAGGTGCACGGCCCCTGGCAACGTGCGTGCTTCGATCGTGCAGTCCAGAGAGAGAATGTAGCGTCGTTAGCCGCCTCTCTTAAGGTTAACAGAAAGTTCGAAGTTGAAGTTGTGGTTTTTGTGTGCGGCGCGTAGCGCCATCTTACGCTGAACACAGAGCCATGTTTGAGCTCTGCCGCAGTACTGGCTGGGAGTTCGGATACCGCAACATTTAAAAAATTGCAAATCTTTTTTCTTTTTGCCAAATGTTGCTGTCGTATAGTGTCCATCTTTTTCAGCTGGACATGACACCGTGTAGCTATATTCCATAATGCTCCAAGTTAGGGACACAGTATGCCAGTAAGCGCGTGACGTCGCTTACAAGCGTACTGTGGATCATTTTCAAGGATGTTTTCCAGACCAAAGCCAATAGTCCATTGTGCAGCTCTAGGGCGACTTGGGTAAAGTGCCTAAGTATCTACCATCTTTCAAATGTCTCTCCTGAACGATATAATTGAAATATTTGAACGATTTTTAGAGTTGGGGCTAAAATGATCCTTTTCACCAACAGTCCAAATTGCAGGACGCTAGCACAAACATTGCTAAAGTTTTAAAAGAGAAATTCTTCAGATTAAAGTTTGATAATGTTAATTTTCGTCTTCAAATGTGCTTAGATTTCTTGAGTTCCTTTTTACTAAAACTGATTAACGCTGGCTATTTGAGAGGGTATTAGTCTCCTAGCTTTCAAACGGCTTCAGATATAGTTATGAACGGGGAGTCTAACAGTTAAGTGTTACATGCACTTATAGCGCCACCTGGTGAAAATTGCGAAATTAGCATTTCTATTTCGAAAACGGGACCAGGTGAAAGAAAATAATGTAATTACAAAATTTGAGATAGGTATGCAAACTCCACAATCTTCCACCAGATGACGCTTTAGGTGGTCTCTTCTTGTAACGTACAGCCACTTTACTATACATCTAACATCATTTTATAAATATAGCTGAAGCTGCTGGAAATTTAAGAAGTTGGATAAGTACTTAAAGGGCCACCCTGTTTTTTAGTTTAGTCATTGTGAAACACCCTATATTTCAACTACTATTACAACCTCCATATATTTCAGCTTATTTTTCTAATTTTTTATTTTTCCATCAGTTCTAGCCTATGGCTATTTTATAGCATATTTACAAGAGATTCAACGTTACAAGTGGTCAATTCTGTAGCAGCTTTTCTTCAATTAAGCTACGTTTTCTGTTTTTATGTGAATACTTCATTTAAGGTAAGAAGTAAATCAAGTTTAGTTTGGTAATTTTAATCTGAATAAAATAAATATATAAACTTTATTACTTAAAATACTCATGTATTTTCTTTTTAAGAAATTAAATTACAAATAACAAATAAATGCCTTACGTAACTTTTGAAAGTCGGTTACTTTTGAAATTTAGTTACTTCTACAAATATAAAGACTTAATTTCTTTATTTTCTTTAAATACGCTCGTAAAATGAAAATTTTTACACATGGTTGATTCTCCTGATAGATAGAAAATACTATTTTATTTTAGTTAAAATGATAAAACGTTAAATGAAATAAATTACTAGTATATCAACTTTTCTCTCTGCACGAGGTCAGGAATATAATTATTAACATATTTATACCTTGTGAAATGTTTTAAGACATTTTTTTTACAAATTTTAACATAATTTAATTCTAATTAAAAAATATTTTCTTATTTTCGTTTCTTAAATTTAAATTTGCTTTTAAGACCATGTGATTTTATTAAAATATATGAACATCAACTTCTTTATCCAATAGCCATATAATTTCGTGTATATAAAAATTATAATACCACATATTATAATAATACGCACTTCATTAAACTACATTGCTTTTGCATTTTTTATTGGGAAACTCCAATTTTCAAAACGGATCATTTCCAATTTCCCTTTCTAAAAAAATAAACTTTTCAATTGTTTAAACTGTGTTTAATTAGAAATATGCTGTAACTAATATAATTTTATAACTTTATACAAGATTTAAAAACTCATCACATTAAAAAGTTATTTTTTCCCTCTGTTTTTATTTTTCTTCAATTCAAATTCAATAAAAAAAATTAATTTCATTCTAGAAAACAACATTTCAGAAAGTATTCACCACATTTGCATGCCTAATTATTTCCTATCTCTATTCATTCCACGTTGTTGAAGCAGAAAAAGGCAAAGCTTTGATGGGCTATTTGGCAAGTATGGGCAGTATTCTAGCTAGCGCTGCACCATTGGCGAGCGTTGTAAGTAATTCTCTTATTATTAAAAGACAAAAAATAGATAACAAATTTGAGCTCATAGCCGAGAAATTAGAAATAATCTTAATAGACACCTCACATTATGAGTCAATTCATTACTAGTTTAAAGATCAGATTAGTTTTAATGTAATTAATTAAGTTTCAAATGAAAAAACACAAGGTGCGGATTTGCGTGTCTTATTTCTTTTTGTCTACCACAAATTCGAATTGCTGTTTATAGGTTATCATAACATATCGGATATAAGGTTATCATAATATATTGCTAACAAATAAAGTTACTTCTCATGCGTTACTTTTTATTGTGTTGCGCATCCCGCGTACCTACGTTTAAAAATTTTTTTCAAGCACTCATTATTTTTCAAATCCAGGTGTCCTCTCATATAATTATGATTAACATGTTAACAAAATGCTCTCCCATAAAATTATAAAAACTATCGATTTTATGAAAAATGTTTTTAATCGACTTAAAAAGAAAACGGGTTGGTGAGCGGAGCTTCCTAGTTATAAAAAATATCCAGAATTATTTTGGTTATAAACTACTTTTTTTTTTTCATTAACCAAAAGCAAAAACTACCCTCTTTATGTTTTTATACTGAAAAAACGACATATTACATTACGGTGGGAAGAAATATGGTTACGAAACTTGGTTTTCATAAAAAAAATGATCTTGAAATATTTTGCGAATAAACCACTTTTAATTTTTTTTTAATAACCAAAAACATCTTTTTTATTTTGAAAATAATGAAATTTAACATTACGTGGAAAAATTGAGGCAGGGAAAATCGTTACTTCTTCGTAAAAAAATTCTTGAAATTTGCAAAATCGAATTTCTCAAAAATTATAAAAATTCTTTCAGCATTTTGGTAGCTTAATTGCATAGTGCTGGATTTTTCTTTTTAATAACACCAAAATTACAAAATTGGCTCATAAATGGAAAAAAAAGAAAAACATATAGATATCTGTAACATACGAGCCACCATCTGTAGTAACGTCGTTTTCTTAAATTGAGTCAAATTTCAAAATGGCTCCCAAAACGCAATTTTGTTCCAAAATTTCTGAAAAGATTATTTTAGCCGTTTTTCATCAAGAACTTTTCTACAGAAACTTTCATGAAAATCTGTGACATAACAGTAACGGTCATTGGTTGATTTCACTTGGAATGAGCGGATTCCATACTAAGAGTATTTTTAAATATATATTTGCAACAAACTGCTTTTTTACACTTGAAAAATACAGGGTTCATACTCAAAAAGAAAAAAAAAAATTACCTGACTTTTCCAGGAAAATTCCAGGATTTAAAAAAAAATTCAACAAAATTAATACGTAATAAAAATATAAATTAAAATCTATCCTATAACAAATAAATACCTCTGGGGGTACTGATATGAAGATTGATCGTTCTCTGGTTCAAGTCAAAATCACCCTTTAAAACTGGCTGTGACGTATGTGTGTGGCTGAAATTCTATACTGGGCCATAGATGGCGTCACTGGAAAACAAGAAACGCACCCACTGCTTTAAATTCTCTTGGTTTCACCAAGCAGGCTTGCTGGTATTAGCAAAAGGAATTAGAAACAACAACATTTTACGCTATAAAAAATCACGATATTAAGTCGAATAGAACAGATTCGAATCAAATCGAATAGAATGAATAACTAAAAATAATGCTTTTTACCAACAGTCAAGCAAACAAAAAATAATAAATAAACAATAAAAACATAATATATTTAATCCTTAGCTATAAAATAAAATATCCTAATATATGAAACAAGCTGCAAGAAAATCAAAGATAAAAATATAACTTATTATCAATAAAATAAAAGAACAATTTTTCAACAACTAAGTCGTCTTAAAAAAAAAAATTAAATTTTAAAAAATATTATACAAATAATCTGTTTTTAAATTAAATTAAATCATATTCAATCAACTGACGAAAGCTTTAAAGAATAGAAAATGGGGGAAAAAACTATAAAAACGCAATGTATTAAAATTTTCTATTTCAAAAAAAATTAATCATAAATAAGATGGATAAATAGAAAATATAAATTACGGGAGTAAAACCACGAAATTAATAAAAAAAAAATCTTAACGATAAATACCAAACTAGCACAAACAGAAACTAACAAATATATAAGTTAATTGATGTTATTCATTTAACTATAATTATGCCAAATTCTAATCAACTAAATAAAACCAAGTTCTAATAATCCAAAGATTTATTAAAAATCACCAAATTAACTAATATAAAACAAAATTGATCAACAAAAAACGCAATATATTTCATACCTTATTATATTGAAGAAAAAAAAAGATAATGATAAAATACAAGGAAAACTTGTCAATCAAATTAAATAAAAACACGTAAAAATTACCAAAAGAAAACGATAGTTAAAAGAAGCTCTAACATAAATATTAAAACCCGGGAATTAAAATGAAATCTTTATCTTATAACTCAGGAATAAAGACTAATTTTATGAAATAAAATTTATCGCACATGGAAAGCTCAAAACGTAATGGAATCAGAAGCTTAACTTTCATTTATTTTGCCTAACATAAAATATATTATAAAAAAAGACTATTTTTAACGAAAGATGTGATTCCACATTGGAATGGTCAACTAGATTCCTTCAGTTTGTGGTAGGGTCCTTCAAAACTTGTAAATGATAGGGCAACATTGCTGAGGAATCAGAATTCATTCAATTAAACCATAGTGTTCTTTAATAGATATCAAATAAACAAAAAAGCCGATAAAAAACGTATTGATCTATATAATTAATGCATTATCCGTAACTATAAAACAATAATTTGTCATAATAAATAAAGGTAAACTAAAATTGTGAAACAAGAGGGTAAAAAAAAAATCCTTAACATGTTAATACTCTCAAGACAAAGTTCCTAACTCGAACATCCGATAGACTATACCCCAGAAACACTTAAGAATCATGGAATCTTAAGGATTATTGTCCATATATGAATCTTGAATATTTTTTGAATGTCTACTCTTTTGGATAAATTCGCATGAACCAGAATTTTAAAAAAAATTCGGATTATTTTTTTATTCTAGTTCAGCCCTGCCTCAACCCTTGTAAAAAAATTAATCACTAAAAAATTACATGTGTATAATGATTGCTATTTCTATCAATTTTGAATTTTTCAGAGTGATGTTATAAAATCCCAAAGTTCGGAGAGCTTGCCATTTCCTATCATATTCAGCACATTCATTGTACAAGCACTATGGTGCATTTATGGAATTCTTGTTCATGACATGTTTATTCAGGTATGGATGGTTTTTTTTCCTTTCTAATAATGGGTGTATAATGTGTGTTTTCTAATGTGTGTATGCAATAAAGACTGGCTCATACGAGTAGTCTTTCTATATTAAATTCTAGCTAAAAAACAGGTTTACATTATTAATTTCAAAATGTGAAAAATCGTTCTCTCATAAAAAGCCATAAATATTCAATATTCCAGTTAAAAAGATTACTTTCTGAGATAATGGGCAATCATTTTGGGAAAGAGACAATAAGAAAATCCCTGGAGAATAAATTTTGTCATGTTTTTGAACAAATTATTAATTATTGTACAAAATATTCAATGATAAATGCTTATTTAGTCATAAATATTTTTTTTTTCTTTATAGGTTCCCAATCTTATAGGTGCTCTTATTAGTTTCATTCTATTAAGTTTGTTCTTCATTTATCCTGCCTCTTCAAAGAAGGATCTCTAAAGATGTTTAAATTCTTGCTCATTAAATCTACTAGAATTCTATTAAATATAAGTACAAAATTGAATTGTACTTATTATTTATAACTTATACTATGTTTTAAAGCTACATTGCCTATTATTCATTACATTGAATTTTTATTTTTGGAGTTAGAGGGTTACTTATTAATCATACAAATAAAATATTCAAGAATTTTTATTCTTAAGGACATGATTTAGTTGGACATTCCCATAATAATTTTCAGTAAACAAAATTTTACATTTAAATGGTGATCAATTAACATTCTAGTATTTTCACTTAAAAAGAAAGTAGGTTTTAATTAATACAACATTAGTGCACTCACATAATTTCATAAAATAAATTTACAAAATAAATTTAATTTCTTTAAAACTGTTTTTAATATAAGGATAACATAAATGAAATCATTGTACCAAACAAAATAAGAAAAATGCAAAACTAATTATAAACATATTAAAATGAACTTTAAATAAATTCAGAGTACACTTTATGTGTCATATTACGGTGCAAAAATCAGGATTATTACATATTTAAAAAATGTAGTTTTATAAATAATTAATAATAAAAATATTTCTGTGGAAGAACTGCCTATATAATTCTTTTTAAAACCTAGAATGTCATTTTTCCACTGCATTTTCAATTATATTTTGTAGTTAGTGTCCATTAAAAATATTTAGTTATTTAAACACAAAATATATCATTTAAATGCATGCATTAGCGATTGTGTACAAGGGGTCTTTTTTTTTCTGCGCAAAACACAAAATTTTAAACAAATAGCATCTCCTTAGAGTGGTATAAACGTAAACAATAACTTAATAACACATTTATTTATAAAAAAACATTAACTTGCATTTTAAGCAGACAAATAATCTTTTAAATTAATAATATTTTTAATCTATTTTTTATAATTTTTTTATAAAAAATAAAATATGTTTTGAGCTTATAAAAAATTCTATTAAAAACTTATGAACTACAGGGAATAACTAATATGCATTTTTAATAAAAAATATCTATATTTGATAACCAAATATTTTATTCACTATTTTTTGTAATGAAAACTTAAAATTATTTGAAACCCAATCAATTTCCATTTCACAAAACTCTGAATACCCTCACACTGAAATTTTCATAATTCGATATCTGCAAGCGACATCATATGTGCATCAGCCAATCAAGTTCAGACTCACACCTGAGATTGCTTGCCGGTATTCAATTAAATTTGACCCGAAAATTGATTCAGAGCAATAATAATCCAAGTCTTAAAGCTGTAATGATAACACTCTATGCATAACCAGGTGACTAGTTCCAAGTACTCAAGTGGATATACAATTAAAAAAGTACAATAATTTCAAGAAAGCCAATTGGCATTGTCCACCACTGGATGTATAAAACTGTGTTCAGATTTTTGTGATGTAGCAAATTTGTTTTAATAGAATATGTATAAAATCATTTTGCGAAATTTGATTGTGTATGAAAAACAAAAAATAAACATTTTTCAATCAGATAATTTATAAGTTTAGTTAAAACTTTTTTTATAGTAATTTTTTGCTTCAGGTATTGTGTATACAGTGGAACCTGTCTAAATTGATCACCCTCGGGACCAAGTCAAATGGTCACTATATAGAGGTGGTCACTTTATGAAGACTCTTTAAAAGGACTCTTGAAATAAAACTTGTAGAAAATGGTCACCTTACTCAGGCGTTCACTTTACCCAGGTGGTCACTTTTACAGGTTCCACTGTATTTTGCTAAATATAGTAAAATATGAAGATGTGAAATAGTGCAGCTCCTTATTTTCATAGAATAAAAGTGATCGCTCACATAATTAGCAAATAAATGACAAATGTGTCTCAAAGAAGTATGGATACAGTAGATTTAATAATAACCACACTCAGTTGATTACCACATTCATGTTAGTTGAGCAAACAACTAGTTAGAGAGAAAAAAAGAATACCATAATAATACCAAGGAACACCATAATTTATCGAAAAAAATTCTTTACTCAAAGAAGTATGTACACAGTAGATTTCCTAATAACCACGCTCAGTGAGACTGATGTTGGTTGTGCAAAGAACTAATTAAAGCGGGGAAAAAAAGTGGGAAACATCATAATTTATCGGAAAAAAAAAGTTTCTTTACTCAGCTAAATTAGTAATGAAAATATTGAAATTTCATTCTTGAGCTGCAATTCAGGTAACTCTTTTCCATTTTACCCACCCACTTTAAGAGACAGTATGTTATATAAATATATTACGTTTTCGTGCCTAGTTTATCTCATTACATTCACAGGTGTTGATCTGCGTTTAACTTTTAGGACCATATGATATGGGAAATTAGTGTATATCCACTCTATATACTATATTCCATTATAATTTTTACTAAACATTTATTAAGAAATATAATAAAGAAATTAAACTATTTACAAATGCACAAGGAGCAGAAGCTCCTGGACACTTATACAGATACATTTTCAAAAGTCAAGAGCATACTTTTTTCACATGCAGCACGTAGTTAATATTTCTTACATATCATGAGATTCATAATATCCAGGCTTCTTTGTTAGGATTGACATCGTAAGAACTAATCATAAGATTGGATAAAGATGCATTAAATTCTTGAAATATTTATTAAATCGAATGATATTTCGGTTTCATAAAGACATTTTACTGCGTAGTATGGATTCATTTTATAAATAAAGATGACTTTTTTTGTAAAATTTTGCTTTAAAAGCCCTTATTAAAGCTATAAATATATAATAGGTAAAAAAATGTATTAAAATAAGCACATCAAAAATTAACATAATAAAAATAAAATCAAAATTTAATTTGCTAAATAAACTACTTTAATGTACAAAATATAATATAACTATTGAAAACTAGTAATATAAATATAGAATTACTAATTGATTTAATAGAAATGTTTGCCGATCTCTAAAGAAATGAATAAAGAGTCTTTGTAATATTCAACAAACATTTTAATTGTAAAAAGCATGCATAATTTATTTGGAGGACAAAGAAATGAATTAAGTAATAAAATATTTTCAAATCTAATATGAGTATATTGTAAAACGGATAAAAAAAATTAAAATAAAACAAAAAAAAGCTATTTCACTAAATTAAAATTTTGAAGTAAATGGTATAGAATTTAAATGCTGAATTTACATAAACAAAAGAAATTACATTAAGCTGTGAGAGCACTTTTACAAGGAAAACCCCGTTTAGACCGAATAACCCTGAAAAATGCCAACCCGAGTTTCGTCTATTTATATCTATAAAAGTTTAATATATCACAGAATTATAAATTCTAGGTAATTCTCTATTTGGGGGCAATTTATGACTTGATATTATACTAAGAAGTAGTTTGTCAACTGAGTATAGATAAGATAGTGGAAATTTAAACAAGCAAAGAACAGTTTCCCATAGTGTAAAATAAAAGATTCGGCGATCAAATCACTTTTTGAAAGGCTAGAGATGCTTTATAATCAATTTTCAGTTGGTAAAAACATTTGTTCCTATTTTGAAAGAAGGCCAGTAGAAACACAAAAAGCAATATTAAATTTTCATCAACATTTTTTTATGCAGTTCATTTTTCTCTCTTGACCTCAAAACATAATTAAATTTTTGGGAAATAAAAATACTTCATTTTAAAAATAATGGGTTTCAACTTTCCAATTATTGAAAGAAGCTGGATTCTCAAGGAGGGGGTGGAACTCCACCCCTTACATACACCGCTGATTATTTTAGACTGTTGAAGAGCCTAGGGCCACTTTTAGATCGAGGGCAATAGGACACCCATCTGTGGATTAGAAGTATATTTGCACAAACTAACCAGTTTTGGCCCATTTTTAGTTAATTGCTCAACCAAGTTAAACAGTGGCATATTAAAAAAGTGTACTATTATTGCAACTAAAATAATAAAAGTATTATTTTTATAATTGCAATTGATAAATTTTATTTTGAATAAGTAATAAGTTGAACACACTGAAGAAGAAACAAACAGCACAGTAATGATAAATAAATCATTTTACATACTTGACAGATTATAATATTGAATACACTGTAATGGGAGTTGAATATTCTTGTTTTATTAATTAATAGAAATTTAACACCATTATCAAAAAAATGTACATATTAATACTTATATTTAATTTGTACTTTTAATATGCATAGCTTGAATATCTTTCAATAATAAAGTAAAACTTTTAACAAGCTTAATTATTTATATTTACTTAGAAAACCAACTAATCACGGTAAATATAATTTGTTAAATAGAAATAAAATTAATCAAATCCTCAATAACATAGTCGTTATCAAAAATGCATTAATCAAGAAAAAAAATTATTACATACATACACAAAAAATATTACATTAACTACGCTAAGGTGGCATTGAGCTCCTTAATCGATAAAATATATCCATCACAAAAAACAATAACCTAAAATTATAACACAAAAAACTCTCAAAAATTATTTATCTACATTATGAGAATAAATACTAGTGTTTGTAATCAATATATATACAGTATAGTGCTGATTATACAGACCAATCGAGACCAAAGCCGATCCTGATAACGGAAAATCTAAAAAACTGAACAACTTTAAAATATAGCTATTTTTAAATAACTTTCCTTCACACTTTTTTCTGACTTAGAATTAGCAATTATAGTAGTACCTATTATAGTTAATTACAAATAACAATTATATAATGATTGTTAATTGTAATAATTACAAATAACAATATAGAATTAACAATTATAGTAGTACCTATTATAGTTAATTACAAATAACGTGTTTTAAAGTTCTGGGCGGAAAAAATGTGTATGTGAGTTTCCTATTAATGTCACCAACATACAAAAAAAAAAAGAAGATTTTCATCCTCTTTCAGATATTCTGAAAATAAAGAAGCACTTTGGTGTTTTCTTTCTTTTTTTCTTCTTAAAGTGGGAAAAAAACATGTTCTAAGAAAGATCTGAATAATTGAACAAACCGGTAAATCAGCGTTCAGATAATCTACACTGCACTGTATATACATAAATACATTGCATTAAGACAAAACTTAACATTGGAGAAAAAAAACTTATAGATTTGTTTCTTTATCATTATATATATAGCAACTATATCTTATAGTAAGCAAACATTTTTGACAATAGAAATGTAATAATAAAAATCATAAAATATCATACTATGACACTAAAAAATATAATAATTTATTTTTAACTCACTGTTGCTTTTGAACATTTTTTTCACCATAACAAATTGAAAAAGAGAATAAAGCTAATCGATCTACAGTAAAAGTATAGGATACTCAAGTTTAGGTCCTATTGCTGAATTAAACATTTATATAAAATAATATGATTGTAAAGTTTTCAGGAGTAAACTTAAGAAAAAGCAAAAAGTTACAAGAAGAAAATTATTGATAGCTTAGAAGTAGAAACTAACATTTTACAATATTTGAACACATGTACAATATATTTGTATACATGAAAAAATATGTGCTTTCTTTCAAAACTAAAACAGCTTACCTCCTTTTTTTCCAAAAACTATACACATATATATATATTTAATAGGTGAATGTAATTTTAAATTGCATTTTCAGAGATCAGAAAAAAAAGTAAAAAATAAATTTTTTTTTTGGAAATTTGTAAAAGTAGAATTTTCTTTGAAAAGATTGATTTTTTTTTATTGTATTGAAAAAAAGCGCAACTCCGCCAAATGTGGAAAAACTCATCTCTGAAAAATTTAACATCTAATAATGATATATATGATATACATTTATAATAATAAATAATAAGATATGAACAATTTGCACATTATTAGTAAAGATACATTACGGATATATCCATATTATGATCTGTTGCACAAACTACAATCGCCAAGGTGCCAAATAGATTTTAAACTTGCTAATTTTTTAAAAATACAAAACAAAAATGTAGATGTTTGCCCGGGGGTGGCTACAAATTATACTTTTCAAGTAACTCCCTTTCTGTGTGGTTTTAGTTTGGCGCAGGTCACTGCTAGGAAGTCGCCAAGACTTGACAATTTTTCTGCCACAGATCACAATACGGAAATCTCCCCGATACATTAATAAACAATAATGCTGATCATTATATCTGAATAAACATTATTCAGATATAATGATCATTATTTATGAAATTTCAATAATATATTAAAATTTACTTGTAAAAGAATTTTTTTAACGACTCTCCATTAGAACAGTACTTGCTAATCTACAAACTTTAAAAATATGAATGAACTATATATCATGAAATAATGCAAAAATTATACATATTAAAAAATATTTAACGACGTGAGCTTCTGTGATCTCTATCTTTATCTCGATAGCGATCCTCGTGATAACGATCTCTCTCTCTACTGCGTTCCCTATACTCCCGATCACGGCTACGAGAGCGATCTCGACGGCTAGACTTTTCTCTACGCGAGGTCCTCTCTCTTGATCTGTCTCTTTCCCGAGAATTGGACCTATCCTTACTGCGGGATCTATACAACTTAGATTCGATACCATGAAGTGTATCTTGTAAGGAATTAGTTAATATTTTGCATCTTTCGTCATTTCCGATTTTGGACTGCTTAATTAAGGAAATAGCTGTCACTAAAGTTTCTACGGCATTAGCATAATCCCCAGAACTAGCATCTGAAATGGCTCGAGAAATTGCATTGCTAGAAACAGATCGATTCCGACTCATTATTTCCTCGAATTCTGCTTCACTAACAGATATTTCCTTACATCTATTATCACTATTAGAGTGATATTGATTATCAGGATATTGAGCACCCCTATCAGATAGAGATCTATTATACATATCAGGTGGTTTTGTTGCTGGTGGAAGACCTGATGAAATAGATTGTGGATGATAAAAAGGAGAACCAGGCATAACAGACGGCGAAATAGAAGGCAATCCTTGTCCAGAAGTAGGTACACGGGGACCAGCAAGATGGGGCATATTTGTATTTTGAGGCACACCTGGGGGAGGAGGAGGTCCTCTAATATCGGGAGGTGGTAGAATTCTTGGTCCCATTGGAGGTAATGTGCCTTTAGGTGGCAAAAGTCTTATGTTAGGAGGAATTGGCAACCTCGGTAAGGCAATAGACATACCTCCCGTAGTAACTGGTGGTGGACCAGCATAAATTGTTGGAGGCATTTGAACTTGAGAAGTAGGTGGCCATGGTGTGTACCCTGGTTGAGTATTCGAAACAGGAGTTGTTTGAAAGGAAGATTGCATGTTAGATCCATGTTGCTGTCTAGGATAATTTTCATTACGATTATTCCACAAACGAGATTTATTGTAGTGCATCGGTCTGTTATTATTATCTCTAAAATCAGAATCATATTCTTTAGTCCGTCTATCCTTAAACTTTTCACTGCGATTCGATCCACCATGACCCTCTTTCTTTGATTGTGATTCGAAGTAAAATAAATTTTGCTTTGTGCATATTGTTACTACAGGCCTTTGACCATGGATTTCTTTTTCAGGCAATTTATCTAAAGCGATCACGCGAGAATTTTCGGAACCCAAAGTTACAATACAAAAACCTTTGGACTGACCATTGCCTTTATTTTCAAAAAATTTTACTTCTTCAACATCATTTATTTCTAGACTTTTCATGGCTTCAATTAAATTTAGATCAGTTGTCCACCACGTCAGATTTCCTATATAAACAGCACAACGAGATTGTCGCGAAGCGAAGTTGCTGAACGAATTAGATCGTGATTTATTCTTCCGCTCATCGATATTAGAATCTTCACGATTTTCATCTTCGTTCTGTTCATCTAAATCGTCGTATAAGTCCAAATCAGACATTGTTCTTAAAATTACAAACCTTTAAGGCACTACTAAAATATAAAGAAAACGAAAGCAATCTTGTTAAATTTCTGACAGAGATATAATATGCATACAAAACAAACCACTCACGCCAAATAGTTGTGAAAAGTAATTGGCTGATACTGCACTCCCGCAGTAGCGCTAGTAGTAAGAGCAGGCCTAAATTTCGCGAATTTTTCTGCTGGACATAGCTGCACCGCTTAATTTTTTTCTTTTGAAAAATAAAGTAAATAATATTTGAGCTTATTACGAATAGTGTGGTTTTTCTAAAAATGTCAAATAGTTTCACATCCTTCAATGTAAAAGAAATTTAAGGTAAATTAGAGCTGAGCCTACTAGGTGACACAGTGATTTATTTATTTGTATTTAGTTTTATAATATATATATATGAATATATATATATGAATATATATATACTTAAATCAAACTTTCTTATACCTATATTATACAGAATTTATCGTAAAATTTAAGTTGACATTAGCAGTTTATTTTTTTGAATTTAATGAAATTTATAATTTCTATCCATCATGTTTTTTATTTTAGATAATTAGTTTATTTTTTAATTTAAGAAACCCAATTTGAATGAATTATTTTATTACATGAAGTTTTTATAAATAAATCTTCTTGCTTGTTGCAGTTTTGTTTTCAAGTAATTGCTTTCAATATTTTACATAAATTAATGTAAGAAATGTAATGTAAACATAGTTGAATGTGAACTGTTATGAGACAATGATGCAAAAATGTTTAGTATTTATGTTTTTCTTTTTGCAGTATTTTTTGAAAATATATGTATGAAATTTATTTCATATATTGTGTTTCTTGCTTTACTTGAAATGCAGATTGATACTTTCAAAAAGAGTAAGTAAAACTCAATTTACTAATTTGTAAAATAGTTGTGAAATTGAAAGTAAATTTTATTTGCGATATTCCTCGAAGAAAAACTGGAAACTTCATTTCATAATTGTCACCAGATGGCAGAGTAACTAAGAACAGACTCTCATTTCACACTAGCACGCATTTTCAGAATCAAAGTAGTGGCTCTTTTTTTTATTATGTCGATACCTCTGATAAATTGATAGGTGAAAATTTACTGTTGCCAAAGAATCAACTAAAATTTGTCTCTGGTAAAATTAATCAAAAACACTGTCATGAATCATTCTTGCTTTATGCGATTCACGCATCTCCGATTGACGATCAAGAGAGAAGTGACGAGTTGCAGAGGATCGTTGAGGTTGCGATAAAATGATTTGCAGAAGGATGAATAAAGTTCAGTAAAATGTTCTATAAAACATAAAGAAAGAATGGATGGTTGGCTGAAAGTAAACAATTCACGATCGCAACACTTGAATATGCCCTCTAGGGGAGAATATTTTCAGGCTTTTATTTATTAAGTTTTCATTCAGTTCTATCAGAATCATTGGCAGAGTAGGTGGCAATTTTTTTTCTTTTACAGTAATTAAGGAGTAAAATTTTCTCAAGGAAAAAGCAGAAGAACTTGAAAATAGACCCAGAACATTGATCAATTTTTCGGAAACGGAACGCGCCCAACATTTGAAGAACAATTCCTCGATAATTTTTACCTTTCTATTACCAAGAAACTAGCAACCGATAACTTCCGATTTCTCGATCGCATACTGTAACAGGAGCTCAAACCTCGCAGCCTTCGAACGAGCTAAGAAGAGAAAAATGACGTCATTTTGACGTCACGTTTCTATTCCTAAAGGCCTGGTTTCTTAGGACAGGACGCCGTCAGCTGGAAATCAGCGCTAACTTCTGATTGATCCATTTGTGAGTTTGATAGCATACGTCATCGAACGCTCATCTTGAACTACAATTGCCGTCCAACTCAACTGCAGTTGGATTACAACGTGACGTTAACCACAGAAGCAATGGCGGACAACATCCAACAGCACATTGAAATCAGCCAAGATTTTGATTTTGACATTAAACATAGCTTCTTCATTAAACATAGCACTCTTCATTTAGCTCAGCT